AAATGGGATAAGAGTAACGAATCATAGAGAGCTTCACCAACCTTTGCAAAACAATGACTGATCTTTCAAGATGGAGGGTTTTTTATGAAATTAGGAATTCCCACTTTTTTTCTGTCTGTAGTAGGAAGGACCAAGTGTTTTAGTGATCATACATGGCAATGTGCTTTGATTCATTGCTTTATCTTCCACGCTGCAGAGAAAATACCATGCAATTATTTCCTTTTTCATTTGAATTTGTTTACTTTTCTGATGAAGAGCTTCAAGGTGCATTTGTAAGCCCTCAAGTATTTAGAGGTTAATTCCACATATTCCAGAAAATCAACTGAAATTATTCACATGGTTCATGGTAAATGTGAGACCTTAAAAGGTTCTGTATATTCATACGTTTTGTAGAACTGTCATTTTAGTAATTTTAGAAATGAGGGTTTGTACTCTATAACCTCTTTGTCTTCAAGTTCTATGCTCTCTTTTTATAGTACAGTACACGACACAGTGGTTGAGATGTCAAAGTAGAAAAAACGAGGAAATTATATGTAGGGTTTATTAGTAAATAGTAAGAATTTGTCTTCTCTCCCTAGACAACCCAGAATATGGTAAAATAAGATTCAGGTCACCCTTTGTTTACTTTTTCCCATATTGGCATATTTTGTACCAGAAGAAAAATATATGGTGGGTTGGTGGTTTTTGTTCATAAAAACCAACACTGCAGAAAATGGTGGAAATATCTGATCAAACAACAAGGGTGGACATTGGAGTCTTTTGGGTCTTGATCAATGTTAAATAGTGCTAGTTCTAAAATACCAAAGTGTCCCATGCTGTTTCCTTGTTGCCCTTTTGTAGTTTTTTCTATGTGTTATTTATTTAATGATTCCAGCAGAATTGGTACAGGTGTCACAGCTTCATATGCTCCTGTCTCAGCCTGTGACAATTCTGCGACCATGTGATTGCCAATGCCAAATGCTTTTTCTGAGACCTAAGTACATGCACTAAAGCTTTGCTTACAGTGAAGTGATTCTTGTCTTAAATCTGTTACTGTTTCAGGTGAAAATCACTTTCTGGTTCTGAACAGGACATGATGGTGAAAACTGATACCTTGCAGCACGTGTCAATGATGATCAATGCTGGTTGACTTAGACACTGCGTGTGTTTTACACACTGTACTCTAGTAGGAAGCCTAATGCCTGTTTCATTCATCTTCTCATTACTGCAGCCTTCTGTATTTCAGAGAAATATGGGCTACCATTGGTTTTCTACAGTTGATGCTTTGGTATTTTTTAATCTCTTTGCTACAACTCATTTTTGTATGTCTCCTGTTGTCTACTTCCTGTGACAATTGTGGGAGAGGAGCTATTGAATACTTTTTACCCTTCCTGTAATGTAGACCCTATTAGGCCTAACTTCAGTGTTCTGCAAACTACAGTTGCCTTTAAACCATGAAGCAAAACCAGTTTGTATTACTTGTTTTGACTGGTTTTGATTTGGAACAGGGACCTAATGGGAACTTCAGTAAGACAACCTAATTTTTTTTCTTTTCTTTTTAGAAAGCATTAGTGAAAGTTTGGAAAGGTGGTGTACATGTATAACCTTTAAATTGTAAAGATTTCTGATTGCAGTTGCAATGAAAACACAGTGTTTGAGTGTGTCTG